AGTAGTTCAATGATGGTAGATTAGTTTTATGAAAGTTTTTGATAGTAATTCTATTTAATTCAATATCAAAATACTAGATAAACCTGCATTATTTTTTGGGAAAACGCACGGAGGTTCGATTTTTTTTGATAGTTAATGAGATGGAAAATCAAAATTCCAATACATTATAATACAACAAAGACATATTTCTGATGTTGTTGTAATTAATATGATCTAATTTATTGAACACTAGTGGCCCGCCCTCGCTTCGCTTCGGTGTAGAGCTGTAGTGTAAACTATAGTTTTTGTTCTCAGGCTTGTGCTATAAAGAATGACTTTATTTATATAATTACACGTGTTATTGTGAGTCAACCATAAAAGATAGACATATGCTGTTGCGGGATATTTTTTAGACAATTTTATGTAGAATATTTCCGTCATACATGATTTCTATTTAACTTTAACCATTAAGGCTGCACACGCGACGGAAGCTTAAAAAATGGAGTAACTTCTCCCGTTTTCCCAACATTTCCCTTCACTACTCTGCTGATATTGATTGTAGCGTGATGAAAAGTATACTATAACCTGCCCAGGAGTATGAAGAATAATTGTACCAAGTTTCGTTAACATCCGTCGAGTAGTTTTTGTTTCTATAAGGAACATACAGACAGACAGACAGACAGACAAAAATTTTACTGATTGCATTTTTGGCATCAGTATCGACCACTAATCACCCCCTGATAGTTATTTTGAAAATATATTTCATGTACAGAATTGACCTCTCTACAGATTTATTATAAGTATAGATTATTGAGAGATTGAGACGTTTGAATTTGTGCATATTATCGTTTTTTCCGTAAACTAGCTGCAGTAGAACGATCAGAACAAAAAAAGGAAAATAGTATTTGCAAATATCTCTTATCTATTAGACAAGTCCGTCCGTCCGTCCGTCCGTGGTGCTGTTTCAGCGGTCAAACCGTAAGAGATAGATAAAGAGAATGTTTAAGTTATAAGTTAAGAATAGTCTGATAAGACTACAAACCGGATTTGAGTAACGTAGCACTTCCGGTTTTCGAGAAATCACGTGATTTCTATTTCAAACGAAACCACACAAAATCTCCGAAGTTCTCAATTAATTAAATACATTTTTTTTTTTGGTGAACATTTGGTTCACTGGTTTGCTAGTTCTACATTAATTTACAAAAGGAAGAATAAATCTACTTTTTACTTCTATTGCAAATAGTCAAAATCTTTTCTAAGGGGGTAAGCGAGGCGCTAAAAAATCTGACGTTTTTCGTTTCGACCATATCTGTCGGCAGTCGGACGTCGGACGGCGGCAACGACGTCAGACAGCTGACGGTCTCCAAGTTACAAGAGCTGAGGTGGGAAGTTCTCCGTCAACCACCGTACTCACCAGACCTTGCCCCTACAGACTTCTACCTTTTCCAGAATTTGGATAAATTCTTAGCAGGGAAAAAAATCAATAACCGAAATGAGCGGCGGCTCAAAATGCTTTTGAAGAAGTTGCCTGCTGTCCAGCAGACTTTTTCAAAATGGGCATAAATAAGCTACCACTACGTTAAATAAAACAAGTTTCAACGGGTTAGATGCACTGAATTTATTTATTTATTGAGGTTTCGCATCCTTTGCCGGAATTCTTCGTCAGAATAATGATTTTTATTTACTTAATATAACCCGTTAAAACTTGTTTTATTTAATGAGTGAAGTGCGTGAAAACCTAAGAAGCAAATATACAAGTACATTGACAAAAATGCTTTGATTACATGGATAATTACTTTGATTTAATAAAAAAAAATAAAGAAACAAAGGCGATTGCTTATTTCATGAATTTCATAGGTAAAGACCTAATAATAGGAATAGGAGAAAGAACTAATCAACCATATACACATATACCAACGCATCTGTAATCTCTTAGTCTTTCATTTTCTTCGATAGCAAAATTATGTTGCACTTTGACCCACGCATCCTAGTTGTAGACCCAGTTGCAGTGGCCAGCCATCATGCTGTCATCACTGTTCACGGACAGAACTAATGATGACGGAGCAGCCGTGCACGCAGATTATCCGACTGCCTTCTCTGATAAATGGCACAAAGTTTAACTCCAATTCAACTAATTCGAGCTAAATATAATACCACAGGTTTCTTTATTTATTCTATAGATCTACTCGTATCTTTTAAGCAGATGTATACATCCCGTATGTATCTTATAAACATAGGTAGAATTATGCCAATCTCGAACGCACCAACAAAATTGATATCCTACCTAAAACACCCACAGCAATCTTTGAAAATATTGCGTTGGTGTAAGATGCACCTATCTAGATGGAATCAGTAGGCATATTCGCTAAGTGGTTCTGATTATCACCGAGCTATTTACTGAACCTTACTTACTTACTGCTGCGGCGCAACGATCCAAAGTGGATCTTGGCCTCCGACACAAGATGACGCCATGCTCTGCGATCCCGGGCTAGGTCCCGCCAGCCGTCGGCACCCAAAGACCGCAAGTCCCTCTGCACCTCGTCGCTCCAGCGGTATCTGGGACGTCCAACGGGCCGTCGTCCTATCGGTCGCCCCAAATACGCCCTTTTCACGGCTCGATCCTCTCCCATTCTCTCTACATGCCCAAGCCAGCGAAGTCTAGCTGCTTTAATTTCTCCTATGATGTTGGGCTCGGTCACTACATTTTCCAGCTCGATGTTCGTCCGCACTTTACTGAACTTACTGAACCACGGATGCTTTTAATATAACGTCACTAAGATACTTGTCCTGGAGAGCAGTGATGGATATGCATTTTTTTCACTTTACTTACATACCGTAAAAGCCAAAAGGTTTGCGAATAGGCCGGCAGGCAGGAGTGGTACGCGAGGATACAGTTGCCACACAATTCTTAAGTGATCTGTGACGTCATATGCACCGATCAGACTCTAATAATACCGGCTGAGTTGTTATCCTTCGGGCATTTTCCTTTATAAAACCATTACTGTCGCACATAGGGTAATAACGTGCGTAGGGACAACAGTAGCCAACGTTAAAAATTGCGTATAAAAATTGCAAAGTTCGAGGTTTCGCTATCGACGATTTCCTCCTGGTAAATTAGATACCTATGTAAAAGAAGTTTTATCCATAGAAAAATAAGTAGTTATACTATATATTTTTGGAGTTTACTCCTTAAGAATCGATTTGCATATACAGGGTGTTACAGAATTCCGAAATAAAATTTGTAGGTATGTATTCCAAAATAAAAATTTGTAGGTATCTGAGCGGGGCGCAGGGGCGCCTGGGGGAGAGAGGGGGGTTGTTTAGGTAGTAGTAATCGTACGCATTTATAGGGTTGTCATAGGCAAGTGTAAAACGATATTTTTATTAATTTAATTAGAAAATTAAAGTGGTCTGAAAGGCGTCAAACTTTCGTAGGTAATTCTATACAAGGAACACAACCAAACCCTAAAGTTTTATTTCGGACTTTTGTCACACCCTGTATAAGGGGCCCGGTATGAGAAAAATGTGAGGAGTAAAATCTATCGATGAATGACCTCGTTACGTTTTTGGTGCGCATCCTATGTCGCGCAACTTTGACAAACAAAGATGACGGTTTGACATTAATATTTTTTTTAACATCAGAACTGAATTTAGATATTGTTTCTGATAGAGCAATGGGGACAACGAGGTATGGTACAACCATTGATGCGGTATTTTCAAGATTCGTGAACCACGTATCTACGAACGTCCATGTGTCTTATTTTAGTTACCATAAACCACTTGTCACTGTAATTAATAATGCAGACAATGTTGATTTAATTAATATTTAAAAAAATGATAATAGTCTGATAATAATAATTACATAATTTATCAACATTCCTAATGATATATTTATGCACATCTGAAATTGACTATTGTAAAAACTTTAATGTAAAATATTTCGTCGATTACTTATAATAAATGTAAATGAAATGAATAAATATATATTTATATATGTATATTATTTTCATTAATTTGTTAATTTACCCTTTCATACAGTATCAATCTTTTTTAAGTTAAATAAACTCTTTTTGCGTCTGGTTAGACTATCGAACTTAAGGAGTAAACTCCAGTCGTGCGTCGGAGCTGACACACACAATTATTGTTTCCTACCACATAGACTACGTAAAACTGGTATACGTCAATACATGGCGCTTTAGTATATTTGTATATTGCAGTATTCCAAATTACCAACAGTATTCCAAATTAGCATCCTTTCCTCTATGAATCTTATATTGCATGTTATAAAGTCATTTGGAGAAATTAAACACTGAGAAAACGTGATCTGTTACTTAAAGGCTAGAGGCTACAGGACTATCTTACCTACTTCAAAATCAGTAGAGAAACTTGTCATCTAATGACTACGATCATTTTATTTAATTACCTTACAATGAAATTCTTTAGCGCAAATATAAGAGATATGCAGTAAATCAAAGATAAAATATTTTCATATAATGTTTAATTCTTTCTATACATACAACATTGCGAGCTTAACCATTGAACTTATTTAGGTACATTTAAACAAAGTATGCTTACTAAAACATAAACATGTTATTAATTACAAAACAATAAATTAAGTATTGTAAATCATGTTTTGCCAGCCATAACTGAACAAAGCAAATTTTCTGTAGACCAAGTTTTATTGCAAAGAGACTACTCAAAGCTTAGATTAAAACAAAAAGGAAAGATAAATTGTGGTGCATGATCACAATTAGCTTTAGTCACAATTGGCCATGGAGCCAAGCAACACGTTTCATTCGAAAAACTGTAAAAACATTTTTTTTTCTCTAAAATCACGGTTTGTCGTGAATGTTTGACGACCTCCGTGGTCGAGTGGTTTGTACGCCGGGTTTCATGGTGTAGCCGACTCGAGAGGTCCCGGGTTCGAATCCCGGTGAGGGCAGATGTTTGTGTGATGAATACGAGCATTTGTACTCCAGTCATAGATGTTTAGTATGTAATTCTTTATAAATATACTTACATATGTATTCTATCCGTTACCCTACATAGCCTTGCCTTATAGTGCTTACTTTGGAGCTAGGCTAATTGGTGTGAGTGTTGGCAATATTTATTTATTGTTATTTAAGTAATCGCCATTTTATTATTAAGAAACAAACAACAATACAGCACAGCCGCTCGGACTGTGACACGGACTCGCCGTTTCGCTCGCGCTACGTTGAAGCTTATAGTTCTGTCTCGCTCGCTCGACTGAATGTTTATATACAGACGTGTGCGTGTGTGACAGTTGCTTATGTAGTTGAGTCGGATCATATTTTAGTTGACGCTAGTTAGCTAGTTGACGGAAGGCCAAAGGGGAAGATCTTCCTCCGAGCTGGGTGATGTTAGCTCGGGGGCCGCGGCCCGACTGGTGTTAGTCGGGCATCCTATATATGAAGCGTTAGCCTCCGAATTTCATTTGCGCGATGTAGGCTTCCATACTATTAAGACCGCAGTGCAGGTATCGCCATCTCTTGAGAATGGTGAGTAATGATTTCCTCCATCCGTTGTATATATGTAGGGCATGTAGATGTCGCCGCCACGCTAGTATGAGCGTACCGTATCTACCCTTTTTGTTTTAATCTAAGATTCAAAGTTACTTCGGTGTAGCTATGACTAGCTTTGTAAATTTATTTAAAAAAAAATACAGTTTAAAATCATCAGCGTTAAAAGTATTACTGCCGTAATTATTTCACATCCAAGAAAATCCGAAGATAGCAGGTCTGTTTTAATCTCTTATGATAAAAGACAACAAATACAAGAGCCATAATTTCATCATTCAATCACAAAAAAAATGCTTGTTATTGGCGAAAATCGACTCTAATACTATCATAGTAAAGACCACAGTCACATACGCGATCACGTATGCCTCATAAAGATTTCACAGTGACATTTCTGTGACCTGGCCACTATTTGACATTGACAGCTAGCTGCTGATGACAAATATTGCCAGACTACGTTACCAAATTATGAAACACAGATAAAAAAATTAAAAAAGTATACAACTTTGGCACAAAATGCCGGGTGTCCTTATAGACTCGCCAAACCATTAAAATATCGCAGTACGTCATCCCTGCGGTTTGAGAGTGTTCAACTCGTTGCCCCTAAAGGAATACGCTTTAAAGTCACCCACTTTCTTGCCATCGACATACATGTACAGTTTGAGACAAGTGTCGCAGAAGAAGGCCGGGTCGAAGGGCACTCGAGGGCAATTCGATACAATCCACTTAGCGCAGAACTCTGCGCACGTGGTACAGTATACGGAGTGGTGCTGCGAATGCGACCGATGTAACGGGTAATGGGACAATAGTAAGGGATCGCGGGGCCCTAAGAGGCGGACCTCGGAGAATGTGAACAGATGCTCACAGTTACCTTGGTGCATGTATACCTGAGAATATGGAGAAGGCAGTGTTAGTTTCAATGTCGATGGTAAGGCGCCGTTCAAGTATTACGTAAGCAGATTTATTACAATAATTTGCAGCAGTACGTAACTAGTATTAGGATAGAGGGCTTTAACGCAAATAATATTCATTTAAACAAACTTTATTGACACATTATTCAACATAGAGTAAGGTACAAATATAACAATCTTATTTAGTACTATTAGGAACATAATTAACTTCTTTCGATTTTTGGTAGCGTATTAATTCCAATTAACAGTCCTAAGTCCATGACACCCGAATCCATGATGCTGACGTAATAGGGGTGATGACGGGGTACAGTAAACGAAATTCTATTTAGTCCGTCAGTTAGATGATCAAAAAATAATGGACACGTATTTTTTCTTTGGGCAATCAACCAAAAAATGACAAAGTTATAGCGCGTCAAAGTTTGGGAGTAGGGGCTCGTGACGTCACTTTCGAGTGAATTTTCACTTATAAGTGTACTCAAACGTGACGTCATGCGACTTTTCAAATCAATATATCTCTGCAATGTTTATATTATGTGAAAAAAGAAAAAATACGTCTCCAATAATTTAATAATCTACCTGATAAACGAAGAAAAAAAATTAGTCATCATCCTTATTACTATTTCCTTATTTTAATTTAGTGTTATCACTAAATTATGTAATTAAGTGTTATCACTAAATTATGTAATTTAGTGTTAACACTAAATTAAGTGTAAGCACGCTAGTCATAGTACGGTTCATAGCAACTTAAATTTGTCCCTTTTGGTCTATAAGTAAAAATAAGATAACCGTATGAGTCGACTTTAAGTTCCGTATTACAGAATGACAACTAACACCCATATTCTTAGTCGCGTCCTCAAACGTTCCTCGACTCTAACTCATTCAAAGACTCCTTAAGGAATTCCTCCAAATAACCTCTACAATGATATTCTAGTAGGTATCTTGAACAAACTTGAGAATTCCTCCACTGAGAGTACAAACAAAGGTATAAAGCATAAAAGCATAGACATATTATATGTGTAAAGTAAAATATCACACAACAAACATAGGTAAATACCTACTTGAAATAATCCTGTCACGTAAAACTTCAAAGCCACCAGTAATTGTATTAAAGGCGGTACAGGTAGTCCTCTGTTATTACAATTTAGTGTAAAGCGTAGCAGAGGAAATATTACTTGTATGAATGTATCTCTCTAAACCGAAATCTTCTTATTAACGAATCATTGTCGTAAACCTCAAAAGGATTTGCGGCGTCACGTAAATACCGTCGCGCCGGATTATATGGTTCATCATCGTATACGTAATCCATAAAATCCACCAATTCGTCAATAATCTCAAAAATAAAATAAAACTAGTTTTTACGGGTAAATGCACGAAACTTTATTTATTTATTGACGTTTCGTAGCCTTTACAGGCTTCGTCGTCAGAATAAAACTTTTATTTAATTTGTCGAGCTACCTTCGAAAGACTTTTATTGAGCGTTTGGTTATTTCATTGTTCGATTTTTAAGTTTTATTGTCTATGTATGAATTTATTATTTAATTTACTTAATAAAGTATTTTATTTAAAATTCTTTTTTGTAATTTTGAGTTTATTTATTTGACCCTAACTACCGTAAACTACCACCGGTTCCAAAATTGGGAGACCTTTCTGAGAAGAACCGGCGAAACAAACTCAAGAGAGACTTTCTATCTCCTTCTTTTGTTAAATTATGCAAACAAAAAGAACTAATAGTATCTGATGGTCTTGCAGTGTGTGCTCGGGGTTGGGATTTTATCTCCTGTATAATAGGTTCCCAAGCTGGTGGTATATACCAACCATCTTCCCTATTGAAATTTGGATATTTTTTAATCTCAATAGCCTCGCGCATCATTCGAGGAACGAACCGCCGCGCCGCTCAGCTTCAAGGATCTGTGGTCTATCAAATCTAATGTAGTGGTTTGGTCCCCCTAATGCATGTTCACACACTGCAGATTTATTTTCGCGCCTATGTTTCATATCATCTCTCAATCTCAAAATTCAAAATCTCAAAAAACAACTTGACCTTAAACACCACTCGAGGAAGCCTTAAGGTACGTCGAGAGCTACCTTGAGTTCGACAGTTTATACCTCGACTCAACCTCCACTCGAGTGAGGAATATCTCAAGTGAAGGATATTTTTGTTGTATAAGCATACGAATTTCCTCGAATGAGGTTGAGTCGAGTGGAAAAAACTTCAAGGAAACGACTAAGAATATGGGTGTTAGTGTTGATCTTTGCTTGAGTACAGTTAGAAAGGGACATCGCTATGTGCTATATATAGCGACATCCCTTTCTAACTATGCTCAAGACTAGATCAATCACTGAGAATCTCTTATCTATTAGACAAGTCCGTCCGTCTGTCTGTGGTGCTGTTTCAGCGGCCAAACCGTAAGAGATAGATAAAGAGAATATTTAAGTTATAAGTTAAGAATAGTCTGATAAGACTACAAACCGGATTTGAGTAACGTAGCACTTCCGGTTTTCGAGAAATCAGGTTTTTGTGAACATTTGGTTCACTGGTTTGCTAGTCTTTCTATAATACGGGCCTGTTCGAGTTGTGTTCGATAGCTTAGTGACTTCTATATGTGGATTTCTCAATAAAAATCGGATATTCAGATTGTAGAATATTATTCATAGTAAAATACTGATCTTATTGAAATTATGTGCGTACGTTGTCTTTTTTGAATTCGAATTGCAAGAGGGAGAATGAATCTATATAAATCAAAATGAGTGAATGTAGTAACGAATGGGTACGAAATGAATGTATGAATGGACGATGATGATGACCGATTGCAGCTTCTCTCTTCGAAGAATAGATGGCGTTAACAAGTTGAATTAAAACTCTTTCTATGATATAGTTCTTGTTCCGAGTACACGGAGAAAGTGGGACAATACATTACGCAAGTATTCAGTACCCTTAGCACGAACTAATATCGAATTCGTAACGTTTGCGAGTCCGAAAAGTCATTGTCAAATGTGTACTGATTTTTAGTTCTCGTTACGTACATTGTGGCGCTCCTATTCTTTTATTTTGTTCTGTGGCTGTTTCCGTTTCACACAGAAATTTCGCTAATATCCCGTAGTGAGAGAGACACGGTAAGAGAGAGATTGCTAGGTATTTATAAAATATTTTTTTTATATTTTATCCGAATAACCCTTCTTCCTTGAGCTTTTATTACTGTTCTTCTGAAAGCATAACACACGCAAAGACAACACAGGTTTAAGTTATATAAAGTGTAGGTAATTTAATCGATAGAGAAAAAAAAAAGGTTTAGTTATAAGTTTCCACACAACATTTGACATTGACATTTCACAGTCGCAAACTATTCGAATTCGATCATGGTTCGTGCTAGGGGTACTGAATTCGATTTATGAACTCTTAATGCGCTCCTGGCGCGTTTCGTTTTCCGAGTGAAACGTCAGTTAAGCACAGTAGAGCAGCATCTCGCTTTAAATACTCTGATTTGGCATGGCGTTAAGAGTTCATGTTACGGCCACTTATAATAAAAATAGATATAATAATATATTATACTAGCGGTCCGCCCTCGCTTCGCTTCGGTGTAGAGATGGAGTGTAGACTACAGTTTTTGTTCTCAGTCTTGTATTATACACAATGACATTCATCTATGATTCTTCTTATACCTGCATGCAAGTCTCAGCCCGATCGGTTTAAAATTGACAAAGTTTCATAACAACTTTCATTCCCTATTTTATCCCCTTGGGGGTAGAATTGATCAAAATCCTTTCTTAGCGGATGCCTACGTCATAACATCTACCTGCATGCCAAATTTCAGCCCGATCCGTCCAGTGGTTTGGGCTGTGCGTTGATAGATCACTATGTCAGTCAGTCAGTCACCTTTGAGTTTGATATATATAGATTAGTGATGAGAGGACCTCTATGGCGTGGGTGGTTAGCGCGTTCGGCTGCGATCGTTGTAGTTAAGCAACTTTCGCAGTGGTCGGTCATTGGATGGGTGACCAAAAATTTACTAACTTCAGTTCCTGCGTGCTTCGGAAAGCACGTTAAGCCGTTGGTCCCGGCTGTATCTGTAGTCGTTAGCACCCGCCAATCGTGGCCCATTCCCCCTATTCCATCAATAGGAAAGGGTTGAGCCCCAGCAGTGGGTATATTAATAGACTGATGATGATGATTATATTAGTGCGGTAAATTGGTTATTACAAACGAGTCGGAGCATGTACTATAGTCATGAGATTGTAAATACCATTCCGCACGAATGTCATACAAAGTTTTTCAACACATTTGCGTGAAAATGTTATACTACATAATTCAAGTAATGAAGCAATCTTTTACTTATAAGAAAATGGCGCTTATTTCCAAATTGCACCACCTGCGGGTGGTGAAAATTGGAACTACATATTTCGTCTGTTTTTCGTTTGACGTGACAACGTCTTATAATTCGATGGAGCCGGCTGCACGCACGAAAAAACATGACTCATGAGGCGTTACCTCGCTCTGAGGCGTTCCATTTAAGGCTTGAAGTGCAAGCGAGAGCGCGCAACGAGCGACAAAGAGGCACAATCGGCCTCCGCGTTCGGCAGCGTTCGACATCTGTCTCTCTCCTACTTGAGTGAGCGATGCGTCCGCGTGGACAGCTGCTATACAATAATACATTTACATGTTTTCGTGAAGTATGAAGTGCAGTGAAAAGTTAATGTGTGTCAATTGTTTATAGCAACGATAATTGCGCCGATAAAGGTAATGATATCACACATGTAAATAAAGGTTATAAAACAATTGTTCAAAGCACATTCATACTTGTAAAAACTATGTACATTGTAAAAAAACGGTGTCACGTTCAACTATCGTCAGTAAACCGACTTTACAGACAACCGACTTTTTAGTATTAAAGTAAGACCAAGGAATAGATTAAAAGCATTTCCAAGGAGCTTCGATCGAAATTTAAAGAAACGTAAAGAATACGCACGGCGCGTGCGGTAAAATGTTTACCGCACGCTCCGTTGGTTGTATTTATCTTAATTTTGAACTTTCGAACAATGTATAGGTACTATCGCGGAATTTTGAGCTCTGTCACTTGTCGAACCTTCGCGTCGGACGCGCCAATCCGGGCCACCGCACTAAAGTAGTCTTACTTCAGAGAGCATTTCATTGATTGAATAATGAATCGAATTGCATTTGTTTTAGTTGCAATTTGTCATCCGCATCGAGATCGCGACAGCGCTATACGAAAAAGTAAGACAGCGATAATTACATGTCTATGAATGAATTTTTACTACGCCGCTACCGCAAGCGATTATGGCATTATGGGTGACAGAGCGGGTCTTTCCGCGAGTGCACATAGCTTACTCACCTCAGGGTGCCCCAGCCTCAGAGGCACGTGTTGCACGAGCGTGTCACACATGTCGCGACAGGGGAAGTGCCCCAGCCCGCGCTTGGTGGCCCACGAGCGGATCGGGGAGCTGTGGTCGGAGCACCCGTCCCGAGTGTCAACGTAGAACACGTTGTTTATGAACAGGAACCCGGACGGAAACAATGTCTGCCGACCGCATAAAAATTAATTAAATATAATAATAATATTCTTCAGAAAAGTTTACTAGAAAAAAATCCACGCGGACCAGGCAGCGGACGGGACTCGAACCCGCACCCTTCGCAATCCGGGCGAATGCACTGACCGTTATGCTACCACGGCCCGATTGGCCGATGCGAAGAGATGGCGCTGCCTTGCAGTTTAAGGCTAGGAAAATTTCGACGCGCTCAAACTTTCGCTTACATAAAGGATGCATGTTCGTATGTGACCTAGTAATAGAACACGATTATTCATAACTATTCCGGCGGTAATGCAGAGATGAGCGGAATAGAAGAGCTAGATTCAGATTAATGTTTTTCCTCACAGTCTTAATAAATAAATGTTATTAAAAAAATCTGATGCTTTTTCTCACTTAATCTTAGTAAATAAGTTTTATTAAATAAAAACTTTCTTTTGCTCACTCGACCTATTTGGATTGAATTGACAGCTATGACATCATAATATGGCGCCCAGTCGGTCCTATTCTTATTTGAATCGCATTATAAGTCCCTACGCCGGCGAATAGAAACTACTATTCAACGAACTTAAAATACTTATTGATAACGCAGCCTGTAAAGGATGAGAAACGTAGAGATGTGCATAAAAGTGTTTCATAAAACGCATTTTAAATCTGTTGAAAATTAGTTTTATTTAATGAGTGGTGTGCGTGAAATCATATTACGAAATAAATATATATTTTACTAGCTGACCCAGCGAACTTCGTACCGCCCTAAAAAAATAGGGGTTGTCCAGCGGACAAAATTGTGAATCTAAACCATTCTCAGATCCCCTTGAACACACACAAAAAAATTCATCAAAATCGGTCCAGTCGTTTAAGAGAAGTTCAGTGACATACGCACTCACAGAAGAATTATATATATAAAGATGTTGACGAGTTGAACTCATACTAATAGCAGCAACGCACGTAGTGATTGATATACTTGCGCAAGTTTCATAATCATCAGCCTATTAATGTCCCCACTGCTGAGGCACAGGCATTGCTTATGGATGGAATAGGGAGATTGGGCCATGACCCACCACGAGGGCCAAGTGCGGAGTGGCGGGTGCTAACGACTGCAGATGCAGCCGGGACTAACGGCTAAACCTGCCTTCCGAAGCAAGGAGGAACTCGAGATGGAAGATTTTTGGTTACCAATCCAATGACCGACTACTGCGAAAGTCGTTAACGCCAATGGATACTAAACTTGAGTAACTATACTGTTACGTGTGGGACGGCCATAAGGTCGTGGTTGATATATTGGACTCAGTCGTTCAATAATGAAATTTCGAATTAAAAGTCTTTAGATTTAAACATAAATAAATAATGTAACTGACATTTTATTTTAAGTATTCTGAAGAAAAATAGTCTGGCAAAATTAAGTCACAAAATTAGTCACTGCTAATGTTTGCAAAAACAGCGTTTGCGAAACACAACAATGCGTGTGCATTATATTGTTACGTGTCGGGATGGGGTTCAAAATTATATGCCAGTTTAAGCTTGACAATTCTTTTATTCACCACACAGTTCACACAATTAACACACAATGCTAATTACAAAAACACTCACTAAACACTGTATTTCACTATACAAGTCACTAAACTATCGCACTGGAATACTTTTATTGCACTTTGATCGCGTTTGGATTCGCTCCGAAATCGCTGTGAAACTCAACTGTCTCTGCGCGGCGCCAATCGCGCTTATATACGCCGACCGACGCATTCTAGAAAGTACCTGTTAAATTGAGAATTACCTAGCACCCGCGAGTACGAAGTACCTACCTATACCTACGCAGGTAACACGCATAACTTGTCAACAAGTGCAGATGTCGTTGCACTTTCACGCTTACACCGCACTGCATAAGGCTCATTTTAGAATGAGCCGCATTACTCGACCTCTATCGCGACCCGCGGTGATCTGGCAAATTCGATCTCTGGCACTTTCGCGGTTACGTTTCGAGAGCGTTTGTAACAATATATCTCAAAATTCTCAATCAATATTAATCTTTTGGAAGCAGTGGTAGTCTAAGAGAAAAAATACGAGGAAATACATACAACTACCGTGTGAATAGTGCGATTGAAATTTAATGGTGACTGTGAAGTTAGCGTCAATTGCGGTGCATTAAACAAAGTGTAGAGTGAAATAAGTACGCGCGGGATTAACTGACAGAAACCTGCTCAGTTGTGCTCACTGCTAACTTCACAACGTGAGATGCCAATAATTTTGAATAGCTATTTGACATGTATTTAAAAACGTTGATACATTATTTGTTACAGGTGACGTCACACGGCTCTCATTAAAACGTCAAACAGTACAAAGTACTTCGACAGCACGTTTAAGGTAAGCAGTTCACGGAGGTAAGCAGCGACGTCACATTAGGCCCCGCCAATCCTAAGCGTTTTCGGTAACGCGACAATAGATCAAAAATATTTTCTATTTCATGATTCTTTAATAATATTAATAATATTATCAATATTTTTTTTGTCAGTAGATAGTGAAGACAGATAGTGAAATCGCTTCCAATATTCGTGTTAAATACATATACCAAAAATTCGCATTTTATTTTGTCAAAAAGCGTGGTGCATTATAAAATTTAAAAAAAACCGTTCTGTCTATGGACGCCGAAGGGAAAGAAAAGCTGGTAAAGGTAAAAACGTGTGGTTGAAAACACGCATGATAGTAGTGCTGATAAAATATACTAGAAGTTTCTCTTCACAAAGGTTTTTGGAAAGTTTGAGACGTAGTTACTTTGCCGTTGGTTTGCGGCAAGTTGTCGGGGTCCCGCGAGTGGTCGTAGGTATTTACCTTGGCGTTGGTTTGCGGCAAGTTGTCGGGGTCCCGCGAGTGGTCGTAGGTACGTACCTTGGCGTTGGTTTGCGGCAAGTTGTCGGGGTCCCGCGAGTGGTCGTAGGTATTTACCTTGGCGTTGGTTTGCGGCAAGTTGTCGGGGTCCCGCGAGTGGTCGTAGGTACGTACCTTGGCGTTGGTTTGCGGCAAGTTGTCGGGGTCCCGCGAGTGGTCGTCGGTACGTACCTTGGCGTTGGTTTGCGGCAAGTTGTCGGGGTCCCGCGAGTGGTCGTAGGTACGTACCTTGGCGTTGGTTTGCGGCAAGTTGTCGGGGTCCCGCGAGTGGTCGTCGGTACGTACCTTGGCGTTGGTTTGCGGCAAGTTGTCGGGGTCCCGCGAGTGGTCGTCGGTACGTACCTTGGCGTTGGTTTGCGGCAAGTTGTCGGGGTCCCGCGAGTGGTCGTCGGTCCGTACCTTGGCGTTGGTTTGCGGCAAGTTGTCGGGGTCCCGCGAGTGGTCGTAGGTACGTACCTTGGCGTTGGTTTGCGGCAAGTTGTCGGGGTCCCGCGAGTGGTCGTAGGTACGTACCTTGGCGTTGGTTTGCGGCAAGTTGTCGGGGTCCCGCGAGTGGTCGTAGGTACGTACCTTGGCGTTGGTTTGCGGCAAGTTGTCGGGGTCCCGCGAGTGGTCGTCGGTACGTACCTTGGCGTTGGTTTGCGGCAAGTTGTCGGGGTCCCGCGAGTGGTCGTCGGTACGTACCTTGGCGTTGGTTTGCGGCAAGTTGTCGGGGTCCCGCGAGTGGTCGTAGGTACGTACCTTGGCGTTGGTTTGCGGCAAGTTGTCGGGGTCCCGCGAGTGGTCGTCGGTACGTACCTTGGCGTTGGTTTGCGGCAAGTTGTCGGGGTCCCGCGAGTGGTCGTCGGTACGTACCTTGGCGTTGGTTTGCGGCAAGTTGTCGGGGTCCCGCGAGTGGTCGTAGGTACGTACCTTGGCGTTGGTTTGCGGCAAGTTGTCGGGGTCCCGCGAGTGGTCGTAGGTACGTACCTTGGCGTTGGTTTGCGGCAAGTTGTCGGGGTCCCGCGAGTGGTCGTAGGTACGTACCTTGGCGTTGGTTTGCGGCAAGTTGTCGGGGTCCCGCGAGTGGTCGTAGGTACGTACCTTGGCGTTGGTTTGCGGCAAGTTGTCGGGGTCCCGCGAGTGGTCGAGCCGCAGCCCCACGTCGTTGGCGCACACGAACCGGTCTCGCAGCACGGACAGCGCCTGCCGACCCAACACTATCGCGTCGCAGCTGAACACGGAGCGCCGCATCACCGACTGCGACCAAATGCAAAGGGAACGATGATCGCGAATATCACAACTCTTTACAAAGAGACAAAAAAAAAAAAACTATTAGCTATGACTCTCTCCCTCCTATTAAGGTTATTTTTAACATCATCATTGATCTAAAAAAAATACTATAAAAGATTCCACGCGGACCAGGCTACAGACGGGACTCGAACTCTTCGCTATCCGGGCGAATGCACTGGCCATTATGCTACCGCGTCCCTGATGGCCGTGTCGAATTTTCTCTAGCCTTAGGGGCCGTTCGAGTGTTACGTAAGCAGATTACAATTATTTACCCCCTCCTCCCCCCCGTCAGCAAAAGTAAGCAAAGCTCTTACCCCTCCCCCCCATTATTACGTAAACATTGGTACCTATATGCATTTTTCCTTTAATGTATTCTGTTTTTTTATTGATTCATGAGCTTCATGAGCAGCAGTATTTAAAAAGGTTTAATCGATGATGCTGACGTAATCACCATCTCTACCCCACCAAGGGCGGATCCAGCTTTGGCGCCAGGGGGGGGTCATATAGCCAGCTTTGGCGCCAGGGGGGGTCATATAGTCGTGGTATATTAAATATTGATAGTACTTATATAAAATCGCCCTGGGTTTGGTCCATCTGTACCCAGCCCAGGGGGGGGGCATGACCCCCATGACCCCCCCCCCCCTGGATCCGCCCTTGCCCCCCACCCCCCCATGTCATCAAAAATAAGCAAAGCAAAGACCCCCCTGCCCCCCTATAGTGCTTACGTAATACTTGAACAGCCCCATTAGGCTGCAAGTTCAACAATTCTCCCACTTGCGGGTGTCACGCATGCGGGGCAATCCCGCGTGCATGTTAAATCTGTACGATATTAAAAACTCTCTAACAACCTGCGTTGCATTATACCCGCCATACACACTACGAGAAATCGTTACGATCAGACTGTACTGGGGGCCAATCGCCTAACGGAAATGCTTTGGGAAACGCTAACGCTTACGATTTTATATTGTTATTTCTAGCCGCCTGAGGTTTTCGAATACCTCACGCACATTTTTTTTAATATTGTTATTACCAATGCAAAAGAAAAAGAAAGAGTGCGAGGCATTCCAATGCCTCAGGCGGCTAGAAATAACAATATAAAAATAACAATAGAAATAAAAATCGTAAGCGATAGCGTTTTCCAAAGCATTTCCGTTAGGCGATTGGCCCCCAGTTCGAACGGTACAGTTTATACGATTTCGTTTAGTATAGGAAACTGTGCAGTTTTATAACATACACGCTACGATTTATCGGTACCGTTCGGACTGTACAGTCTAATCGTAACGATTAATCGTAGTGTGTATGGCGGGTATTAAAGCGGGCGCACGGAGTGGACGTCCGCCCCCTCCCGTTTCAAGTGCACATCTGAGTGCACTTGTCCTCTAAGCGCATTTTGCGTTATTTTAAACTATGCACTAGTTTAAACTAACGCAGCGCCGCATCATCCCCCTCTCGGGGGGTGATCGCTTCAGATGAAGCTTGTAAGGCCCTTCTGGCCATAAGCATGAATAAAGGGTGTTTTTTAGTCAGTAGGAGTCTGACATAACCTTACAGCCGGCTGTAGGGTATCCATGAGGATTTCTCACCCTCTCCCCCGCCTGGGAGGAAACAAAAAAAAAAAAAAAGTGGACGTCCGCTTCGCGTATTTTTTTCATGTTATTTCACAAAGCAGCGCTGCGTGTGGCGGCCGGTGTCCCTCGAATATATATATAACTAGCAAACCAGTGAACCAAATGTTCACCAAAAAAAAAAAAAAAAAAATTGAGAACTTCGGAGATTTTGTGTGGTTTCATTTGAAATAGAAATCACGTGATTTCTCGAAAACCAGAAGAGCTACGTTACTCACATCCGGTTTGTAGTCTTTCTCAACTTATAACTTAAACATTCTCTATATCTATCTCTTACGGTTTGGCCGCTGAAACAGCACCACGGACGGACGGACGGACTTGTCTATTAGATAAGAGATAATAAATAGAATCCTCCCTAAAATATGACTAGATAGATGTTTTCATTGCTGATGACTTTCCACTTAGACAAATACTTGTAGAAATATTTTAAAAAAACGAATGTGCTTATATGACCACACGACGTGAAACTTTTTTAGCTCTATGTATATATATATATATGTGTGCACAATATGTAATGTATCCTCAACTTCCGTTCGCCTCGCCCTATCACACTTTTCGTAACGCGTTAGCCAGCTTACTCCCCAAGTCAAGCGTGCGTAAAGAAGTTTCACTTCAAAAAATTTTGCAACACAGTCCAACAGTGTCGGGTCTTAGATGACCCTACATTATCTCCACACATTCTCAAGATAAAAGTAAGACAGATGGACAGAAAAGTGATCCTCTAAGGGTTTTTTTGTTTTGAGGTATGTACAGGGCGGGATCTACCATATGGCTTATTGGGCTTTCCCGTGGATTCAAGGGGCCCCCAGCTAAGTCAAGTTTAGTCAAAAATACACGATAATGAGAAAGAATCCATAATTTTATTAAATTAAACCGATCTTATAGTTTATAGCCCTATTTTTTTTTTTTTGACGAAGGGAAATGCAGTTACGCACCATACCGTGACGCTGACTAGGCGCACGGCGTGTGTGGGACTCGCCGGCACGGGAAACAGCGCCGACCCTACTCAAGCAGGACCAGTGCGGAAGGCCACACTGATCCTACTCCACTAAAACCCCCCGGTACCCTCCTACGCCCATATGGGGGCGGTCTCGGGGCCGACGCACCTGCGTGCGCCACATCTCCGAGCACGCCCCCGGATAGTTTACAGCCCTGCGAATCCTGCGATTAATTAAACCCATTCATTTCATTAAAGTCAAGTCTACTTTCAGGTGTTCTTACTTTGAACTGGCAGTTAAAATGTTCCTCTGCCATTACACATTCATCTCAATCGTATTCCGCTGTTTCTCTCCCAGACTCTGTCTTTTTTTATCTTGCTAGAATTATTTATAAGTACCATTATTTATCATTTTTAATTATTTATAACTAGTAGGATAGACAGAAATAGAGTTTTGTTTTGGAGGAATGTAGCGAATTGTGATCCAGATTGAATTTGTAATGGCCGGCTACAAGTTAACCTTGCCATTCACAAACAACTTTTCCAGGATGTCATAAATACAGAACAACTATGACTATGTTAAACTTACGACTTAACCATTTATATGTTTTGTCCATAAATGTTGATTTAACTAAGAACCTAGAATGTGGGAAGCAAATTAAAGAATTTGCTAAAGAGAAGTGCGGAAAGGTTATTATTTGTCAATTTATTTATGCTTGTATAACACTAAGGCATAATATATTATAATATAAATTTAATATTTTACAGCCTCATCTCTTATCTATTAGACAAGTCCGTCCGTCCGTCTGTGGTGCTGTTTCAGCGGCCAAACCGTAAGAGATAGATAAAGAGAATATTTAAGTTATAAGTTAATAGTCTGATAAGACTACAAACCGGATTTGAGTAACGTAGCACTTCCGGTTTTCGAGAAATCACGAATTTCAAACGAAACCACACAAAATCTCCAAAGTTCTCAATTAATTAAATACATTTTTTTTTTTAAATCGGGTTTTGGTGAACATTTGGTTCACTGGTTTGCTAGTCTACATATAATATAAATTTAATATTTTACAGTCTCATTTTCTATACTTTGAGTACTTAGGTGGGCCCCTAAGTAGTATTAGGCCAGGGCCCCCTAAACTCACAGTCCGGCCCTGGGTATGTAACCCTAAAATTTACAGAATATTAAATTTATTCACCTTGAGTTGTGGCCGCCCATTTGCTTGATGATATGATCTGTACATACGAACTCGGAACATCATGTCTTTGCCCGGATGTAGCTCTTGTGGCTTATTTTCCGCTCCATCTGAGCTATTAGCATCTTCCTGCGAAAATAACATTAAAATGATAAATGTGAAACACAACCAGCTAAACAGGTTGACTATCATATAAATATTTTTTTTTTTTTTTTTTTATTTGGCTTACAAAACTGGTTACAAAGAATATCCATATAAATATATGCATAAAAAAAAAACATCAGCTACTTTGCAACCTACTAGATGCAAGCACAACATGCATTTCTAAAACTACCTAACTACTAAGGATATATACTAAAGGATAAATATAGCACATTTAGGTTAAACTCTAACTAATAATATTAAATGAAAGTTAAAACTAAAAACCTAATCAGAGAATATAGAATTTAAACATTTTTTGGTTGAGGCTTTAGAACCTTTAAATATGTCGAAATCATTTCGAATAGCATTATAGGTTGACAACATTCTATAAAGAGAAAGATATGTACATTAGTGATGTAACGAATGTAATTTTTTGAATATTCGCGAATGCGAATATCTGGTGCCGACATTCGCGAATGCCAATGCGAATGCGAATATTTAGTGTTTGAAGATTGGCGCCAATTGTCTGTGGCATGGTGGCAGTCTCGTCCGAATTGCCGAGTTGATATGAACTGAATCCGACTGAAGTGTCATTCCGCTCGCGCCGGACTTTTCGTAAACAAAACATGTGAATTTTGAGGTTAGTTTGAATAGTGTTTTAGTAACAGGAGTAAATCAAATTCTAGTGAAATATGGACTTTTTCACACTTTGCGATGCTGAACGAGCTAAATAAAAGCTGTGTAACAATGAATATTCAAGCAAAGGATGAACTACAACTTCTTCAAATCGTTTTTCTCTAATATTCATATTCGCAAAACATTCACAGAGATAAAACTAGTTTTTACGGGTTAATGCACGAAACTTTATTTATTTATAGACGTTTCGCAGCCTTTTCAGGTCTGCATCGTCAGAATAATGATTTTTTATTTCTAGAATAATGATTTTTTAAAATAAAAAACCAGTTTTATTTAATGAGTGATGTGCGTGAAAACCTAAGAAACAAATATTCACAGAGATTTTGCGAATGCGAATGCGAATGTGAATGCGAATATTCAAAAATATGCGAATATTCGCGAATGCGAATGCGGATGCGAATATTCGTTACATGACTAATTTACATATATCACAAGTCAAAATAATATTAATGCAACTAATAAAGGTTGTACCCCTGCAATTTTTAAATTCACGCAATATCAAGAAAAGAGAGGCTTGATTTACATGAAAAATCATGATAATTTTGTTCACAGCAGACCCTTCTGAAACTGAATTTGAGAGAGTTACAACCAATTTAAAAATAACATGTCTCTTGTGTCTTAAGCTATATGTTAAAAAAATATGACACGCCTGACATGACATCCACTACAATTTTTTTAAAGCATAAATTACAGGCAGAATATTTTGAAATAACTACATGAATAAATCAAATTTCCAGTAACCCTACATAAAAAAGTGATTTTCATATGGAAAGGTGAAACGCTATTTGATTTAACCTAATTTGCAAACTTTACAGGAGAGCAGTTTCAAATTTTAGTAAAAAAATCTTAGAAGCCAATTTATTTTTAAATAAAAAGAATAAATATACAGGAATTTGGACCTTCCTTCTACATAATATGTCATTATTACATTTACACAATTATAATAAACTAGAGGTCACCGGCAACTTCGTCTGCGTTAACTTAGTTTCTTGAAAATCCCTCTGGAACCTAACATTTTTTCGGGATAAAAGTAGCCTATGTGTTAATCTAGGGTGTCTGCTAACTGCATACCAAATTTAATTAAAATCGCTCCAGCCGTTTAGATGTGAAGAAGTAACAAACATACACACTCACAAACTTTCGCCTTTATAATATTAGTGTGATAATTTCAAATATTAATGTAGCTTAGTCTTAATAAAAAATTAAGAAGACAGGTAAAGACTGAATTCATTAAAAAAATAATTAGTATAAATCTGATTCATTAAACTAGGTAACTTGTTAGGTATAAGGAATATTTTTAATCTTATTAAGAATAGGTAAACAGATTTAACTGACAATCACTGACTGACTGTTGTTTTAAATCTAGGTATTTTTTTTGAGTGTCTATGCTGTTAGTTGAAGCTGATCTTTACAGCTCCACAGGGTTTGGGGACTGTGAGATCCTGAGGGGACCTCAAGTCGAGAATTGGCAAGTACCTCTAGAGGTATTCCAGGCGAATGGCATCACCCCACTTGGGGAGTCTCCTCTCTGTCTGAAGCCTCTAGACCTGAGGGGGTCGGCTCATCTAGAGGGCGTCTCTGAGACTCGGAGCTCAGCTCTAGTTAGCTGTTGTTGTGGGCGGTCTAGGTTTTTATGGCTGATGTTTCTACAAAGGTGGTTAAGATCATTATCCAACCACATGCAATAATTTACAACCTACATAACTAAATTTTCATCCTACATAACATTATGGTGCTAAATGCAACACATATTCGACTTTAAGCACCATTAGCTTATAAATAAAAGGAGAGTCCAAATGTTTTAAGTGACACAGTGTTCAGATTTTTCTAAAACCTGGCTTATAGACACATAAAAATGTGCTGATTCCAAATATATGTAAATTTATATTTACGATCGAATATCGAGAAACCAAATAGCCTTTCACCCGTCAACATATAAATTAAATTGCAATACCCACTGTTGGAAATGGCAGGAACCTGATACCTCTATATTTTAATTTCTTTACATATAAACCACCTGTATCATTTTCATTACGAAGTTCTAATTTCTTGTGTATAAAAAGCTTTGCACTGTCTGACGTTTTTGATGATTCATCAATAATCTTCTTCTCATTGAGCATATTAAGTGAAGGATACCCAGATGTAGGAAAATTTGTCGACATCTGTAACTCGTCACCTGTTCTTAAATGATGAGGGCTGAAAAATTACAATATTACAAAAAGTTAATACTTAAATAGTTTTGACAAATTTAAATGCATTTATTTGTAAACATTTTATTAGTTTTAACCTAAACAAAAACCCTCCAGTGTGACGGTTTATCCGAATAAAAAATCCATAACAAATAAATGTTAAGGTAGAAATCAGTAAATAAATTTCACCTGCAATAATCGGATAGATTATCGAACTCCTCATCATTCAAGTCATGCCCTACAAATTCTCTTAATTTATTTCTGTAAAATGTAGGCAATTCTAAATTATTATTGGGGTAACCATAAATAGGCAATGAATTGAATTGATCTGGAAGATTTTTCGTTATCAATGTCGGAGTAACTATGTTACCCTTTACGTTATAAAATTTTGGTTTATTATCATCATGATCATATAATGGGTTTGATTTTCTATGTTTTTCTTGTGGGGTTTCCTCAGCAATAACCTGAATTTCCTGCGAGTCTTCATTTACAGGCTTTATTTGAGAGGAACCTAAATCTGCATCACCACAGTTAGTAGAAATCTCATTATCCTTAGAATTTTCATCTTCTGAGAGAATAGTTGTTTCTACACAAATTATGGATTGAGTGTTTTCGCCTTGTAAGAGATCCATCCTTCACTGTTGAATTGCAATGCATGAACACTAAAATCTTGATCACCTTTTTAAACACTGACTGTTAGTTACTTAATTATTACTTATTTTATCGAACAAAAACTGGAATTCAGCTTAGCCAGCAGAATCGACAACCAAACACTTCTTATAAATGTTAGTAATCTTTGTGACCAACACAACAAACTACTGGCTTGCCTTCCCAGAATGGGTAAGAAAAAAAATTTAAAAAACAACTACTGGCCTATTCCAATCCAAGTTCCAAGCCTATTCACTAACTTTTTGACATTTGCAGTCAGCAACTAAAGAGAAAATTCATCGATGCTTTTCAGAACATGGTATCTTAGTGATGGTGGTTAGTCTTTTTAATAAAGCAGTAATGGATAAATACTAAATATCTCGGAGATTTTCTCTTCCATCTGTCAAAAGCAGTTAGCGAAATAACAGGATTTACACTACTCAATTTCAAAAGCCCAATCGAAAGGGTGGGCGTAGCGCCTAACCAGGGCAAGCAATTATTACACCGCGCTGATCGCCCTAGATCGGGTCTCTTACTCCCTAACTCACATTGGGTAGTGTAAATCCTGCAATAGGCCTACTGAAATCAATGGTGAACACAATCAGTGTTGCCAGGTCCAATTTAAAAAAAACGGGAAGCGTTACAGAAAAAAGCGAGCTGAGCGAGCGAGAGTCGATGCAGGGGCGTACTTTATCTGGTTTTTGTGTTTCTATGGCTCAGGGATGTTAGATGGGCACCTAGAAATCCTTGTGCCGAGCTGGCTGAAAGCTGGTATTCGAGCCGGGAAACTAGTACGCCTGTGCTCCGCTCTGCGGCGCTGCCAATTCTGGGAGCTGTGTGGGAAATCGCATCATCCCAGTAAAAAAAATGTACATTTCAATTTCGTAGACCGTTAATAGAGGGCAGTGATTATCGAACACACGCAAGAAATATTCTTTCATCAATTGAAGAATATTAATCGTTTATAAGCACGTACAATTGATTGGATTTTTTTTTACATGAATCTCTAAAATTTGTCGATTATTCTATTCTATTCTATATATCTATTCTAGTGTATTTTTGTCGGTCAACGGCCAATCTTGGTATTTTTGCGTACAAGGACTGAATAGCCTTGGTACATGGTACGTGACACTAAAAACTAGTATGTATACCAAGAAGTTGGTACGTCTGACATCATTGCTATGGCTTCTGCCACCGCTCACAGCTTATTTTTTTTTTGTTATAATAACAAATTATTGCATTATAATTAAGGATTACCTACATTCGTAATGGCGGAAAACGCAACTCAACACGCAATTTAAAAAAGAAAATCGTATTCTAAGAAAAACAGCAGATTCATGTAGAGAAACTGAAAAACAAGAGTCATTTCAGAAAAACAGGAGATCTCCTGTAAACTGTAAAGTCGGGAGACCTGGCAACCCGGACCACTATTGTAGTTTTTTGAAGGTATCCTAGGTAATAGCTATAGTCCGAGTAGGAATTGATTCTTTTACCCGAGTTAAACACTGTACTTTTCATTTCGAATATGAGGAAAATAAAACTAGTTGTTTATCAAAAATATTTGTTCATAAATAGGTATATATATATATATATGTATAGGTACAATAAAATTAGAAGTAGCTATTTAAAATTAATTGTCATATTAGGACAATTAGTGAAATTAAAATTACATTCTTGTTTGGAATGTTTATGCTGTTTGATATACTATTACAAATTTGGCTGTTTTGGATATCTGTAAAAGTAGGAGACTATGTTATTTCATCAAACGATGGATTCCATGGCGGATACTCCCTGGAAGTTTGAAGAAGAAGTGAAGAAGACAGTCCATTAAAATATGTAAGAAATACACTTTCGGAAAACGATTTTATATTCTTCTCTGCTCGCCACTTTATAAAATCATTGTATGTATTCATATATCCTCTTTTGACATTTCTGGCAAAAGATTCTCTATAACACAATTTGCCTCGTCTTTAATTGAATCCGGTGTCAACATTTCTGAATCGCTTAAACTCATTTTCAATATTTAAATTTAGATTGCTCTGTTTTACTTATAAGATATTTTTTTATTCCGTCACAGTTAAATAACAGTTTAGTATCCCGCCAATTTAGGTCGACTTTTTAAATTTAAATATGGAACAGCGTAATTGTTGCGGCTTATTCCGCTCAAAGAAGTTTGTGCTAAGTTCACACTGGCTGTTTAGAAACTCACATGGCATCATATTTTTTTTTTACATAAAACTCTTCACACCTGACAGTAGTTCTATTTTTAAAGTTCATTCCGGCCCTTAGGCGGGAAGTTATTTGTACGAGTTTTTCCATCTCTAGGGAGGGAAGCAGCATTTTCCACCCAACAAACAGATCAAAACAACACCACTTTCCGAGAATGAGAAATGAAAAAACATGTACAGTTCAAGACGGTACATTTGAGTAAGTGTCAAATATAAAAAAAAGTTTTATGATTAGCCAGTTACAATACTCCACCTGAAAATAAGGATTCTAGAGCCACATTAACACGCCACTTCACCGAAGACCAGCCAGAAGTCAGTATTGGCGAAATCGAGATTGCTCTTGGACTACTCAAAAATGGAAAAGCCCCCTGGAGAGGATGATGTTACAACAGAAATCTTAAAGGCTGGAGGTAAACCATACTGAGGGAACTCCAAAACACTCTCCTGTTCGAAGAGAGAATTCCAGAGGAGTGGACTAGGAGTGTGGTCGTCTTCTTCTTTAAAAGGGGAGACAAGACCCTACTTAAGAACTATCGATCCATATTCTTTCTAAGCCACGTCTAAACGCTATTCTTAAGAGTGATCGCGAACCGTCTTGCGCTTGATGACTGCCAACCACCGGAAAAGCTGGGGACAGCACCATAGACCACATCCACACAGTGCGGCACATTAAACAGAAGACTGAAGTACAATCAGCCCCTGTGCCTAGCATTTATGGACTATGAGAAGGCCTTTTGACTCGATTGAAATCTGTTCTGTCCTGGAGTCCCTGCAGCGTTGCCAAGTCGACTGACGATACATGAAAGTGATAAGATGTTCCTACGAAGCCGCCACCATGTCTGTCCAAGTACAGAATCAGCAAATAAGTCCCATACCGTTGTATTGTGGAGTGAGACAAGGGGACGTTATTTCCCCGAAATAGTTCACTAATGCAATGGATGAACTGGAAAGGACGTGGCATCAATATAAATTGCGAATGAATCTCTCAGTAGCAGTTTGCAGACGACATCGTCATCATGGCAGAAACCCTGCAGGACCTACAACAAATGCTGAATGACCTGGCTGACACTTCTGTACGCATCGGTCTACGGATGAATGTTACGGATGTTAGGTAAAAACAACAACAGCCAAAGAAAAGGCTATGCTCGGCGTTTCTCCGAACGATCGCATCAGAAATGAGGTGATCCAACAGAGAAACAGAGTTATCGACATAGCCTGACGGATCAGCAAGTTGAAGTGGCAGTGGGCTGTGAATTTTTGCTGCAGAACGGATAACCGTTGGGGTAGACGAGTTCTGGAGTGGAGACCGCGTCTGGGCAAACGTAGTGTAGGACGTCCTCAGGCATGGTGGAGTGACGATTTGCGCAAGGTGGCTGGCAGGAGCTGGATGCGAGTAGCCCAAGATCGATATCAGTGGCGTGCGATTGGAGAAGCCGAGGAGCTGAGGACAAAGATAGGCCTATTGAGGAATACTCCCTACTAACAGATTAAGGTAATCTAGAAACCCACAAAAAGAGATAAACTAAGAGTAAGAGAAAAAATAAGGATAGCAAAATAACAAAACTTTATAAAAGAAAGATTATTTTGCCAACCCTATACTAGCAATACAACTATTATGTTTGACATGCCCAAGTGGTTTCGTCAAAACATGAGCAGGCATGTCAGAAAATTTGACTGACTGACAATATCTTTACAGAATGTAATTTACCTGTAATTTCCGATATAAAACGACGCAAGTAACACGCTTCCTTTGAAGCAGCTGTAAGTGCAATATTCAGCTTCCGTGGATGAAGGCGCTACCGTAAATTGCTTCTTCGCCTCACATGCCACTGGTCCACCCGTTAAGTTAAACACGTAGCCCGTGTACGAACGCCTATCAATTGGACAATTTGCCCAGTCGGCATCAGAATATCCCACTAAGGATTTACCAGTTTTTCTATATGTTATAGAATAGTCTATTATTCCCTTGAGATATATATATTCTTATTGTAGGAATCTTTTCGCTGTTTGCCAATTGTGGTCCGTGGGAAATGACGAGAAAATCGACTTAATTGTTTACTTTTGTTGACTTACTTTTGCCATGATATTTTTCACTAAAAATGCTTAAACAATAGAATCACTGTTAATAATACCTAATAAGAAAAAACACTTTGTGCCGATAACGTATTGTAGTTTTTGAAGGAATGCTAGGTACAGTTGAAAACGGTATACTTTGAAGTGAGGAAATATAAAAAAATGTAAAATATTATAATAGTATAGATACTTCTGTAAAATTGGGAGACCTGGCCTTTTTTTTACCCGGAGAAATGCGTTACGTATACGCCGCCGCTTTGTGGCCTACCCAGCTCCCCCCACCTCCCACTCACCCACTCAGCCAACTCTGGCTCAGTGGCTGCTCGGGATGGGGAGGCCGTACCCACTAAAACTCCGGGATGTGCTCTTCTTGCCAGCGGTGGCGGCGTGGGATCCTTACTGGCAATCAACCAAGCTTCCCGCTGGTCCGGCTTATTGGGAATCGCCCCCAGACTGCGGTGCCGTCCAATGCAGGCACGGGTTACCCTACCCAGGCCCGCTTTTGCACGCTCAGGCTCAGGCGGAACGTGACACTTTTTCGTGCGTGCAGCTGGTGTTCATCGATTTATAAGACCTTATCACGTCAAAAAAAGTGCTGATGATAACACCACTGTTTCTTGTTTAGCGCAAAAACTCCGGAAATGCTCTGTAATATGTTTGTGCACTAGCGGCTGCATGCGACTTCGTCCGCGTTGACTTTGGATTTCTTGAGAATTGCACTGGAACCTAACATTGGCCGGGAAAAAAAGTATCCTATGTCTCATCTCAATCCAGTTCATAAAGATCCGGATACGCATATAAATGCGTACGAAATTTCATCCAAAATCATTCAGTAATTTTTGAATGCTTGAGTAACAAACAAACAAAGTTATTTGCATTAATTATATTAGTTTAGGAGGTACGAAAGAATGTTAGGATTTAGATAAGTATTGGTGTCAATTCTGGCGTGATTCTCTAAACTTAAAACTAAATTTAACATCAATCTCTCCTTTTCATTCCGTATAGAGAATGACAAGGATACACTGTTGTCAAATTTAAGTTTAGGTTTAGAGAATCGTGTCAGAATTGACACCACTACCGTACCAAGTTTTAAGGCTATTAACTGAAAGAATAAGATTATTCATACTAATTTTCATCCCCTTTTTACTCTCTAAGAGGTAAATTTTTGTCCGTCGCGGGACAGAAAGTCATTTGGACTTACGATTTTATTTTCTCCGATAGCCTTTAGAGCAGCGCCGGTCTG